CGATCTCACTCAAAGTATGGTAGCTGGGTCCCTGTGCCATACCGAGCTGTCCCATGGTGGAAGTGGCTGTATCTCTCCCAACTTCCTGACATATAGAGACCAACAAGGGGATTGACAAAACTGAAACTTTTTCTTACAGTTTACCTACATAAATGATTCCAATGTGCAAAACAGATTGATCTTTTACTCAGATTAGCAGGAATTGCCTTGGATTCCTATATAGGACTCTTTTTTTTTAATACCTTATCAAAGTTCCTTTTATAAAAGGTGCAAGAAGATAAGCTATTAAAACCTGAAGGTGTTTGACCTGTTGATACTTTAGTGCTTGTATTTTAAAGCATGTAATGCTATGTTAATGTATCCTCAACAAGGGATATGATTATTCCAGGGTTTCTATGCCTGCTCCATAAGTAAGAACAGGTGTTTTTTTTCCTACGCCCGTTCTCACTTACACTTCAGGCACACAAGTTCAGCAGCGATACTATATCCAGCCTTAATAAATGTGAACGTTGCCGTAGAAACACTGCCACTTTGAGAGAGGTAGGGGATGCCAAAGAAACCTGTTCTCGCAGCGTGCAGATGCTAAAAGCAGATGAAGACATTTATCAGTTAATCAGTTAAGCTTATTATTTATGGAAAATACAGATCTTGTGAGACTATGGAATGCATTTGTTAATTAAGTGAAAAGTCAGGAATTGTGTGTGTTCCAGCTAATTCCTCCTGAATTACTGTAGAGCATGAAGATACAAGCCCTAACAAATATATTTCTGGAAGCATAAAGTAGTCCCTAACTGCCCAAGTTACATATATTTAAGCACATAAATAATGAAGCTGCAAATCTTGTTTAACTTTGTTGTTGTCGCCAATGTATTTTTGCATTACCAGTTTTCTTGGAAATCATTGGGGTTTGTAGTTGGGGAAACCATGTTTTGCAAACCTCGTAACTGGTTTTGATAGGAGTCTTGAGCGGATGGTACACTGGAGTAGGTCTTGAGAATGAAACAGATTTCTGCAATTTTTCTCGTATGTCTGGGAAATCACCTTAGGGCCTCAGTTTCATGGCTGTGAGGTGCAGATATGCTGCTGCTGTGGTGAAGCGTTCGGAGATCTGTTGGTGAAAAGTTCTGTACGAAAGCTCAGTTGCTGTTCTGCTTCTGAAACACAGGCCCGCAGCCCCTGCTCCCTCCCTACTCCATCAGTGGGCACGGGACTGAGCTGAGTCAGGTTGCAGAGAAAGGGAAGAACTGGGAACTGAATGGCCATGCATGTGCTGTAAGCAGCTACCAGTCAGAAGAACAGAGCTGGGGAGAGCTCTATCCTATGACTTATGCTTTGTCATGGTTGAATATGAAGACAGAAAGTGGTCAGCAAAGCAAGGCTAGTTTTTCACATACACAAAAGCTAATAAAAAAATTGGTTACCTGAAGTGTAGTTTAGCAGGAGTGGGATAGATCTTGAAGAGGGATAGACTAGCACTTCTCAGAAGACATTTCAAATGGGCAAAGGAAAGGAAATGGATAAACAATAGAGAGCTGGGGGTAGCAGACTTATCAGGCGGCTCCCATGAAGCCTTTAAAGAAAAGACAAGTGCAACACCACATCTGTCTCTGTAGAGGCCCCAGCGCTGGAAACAGTCAAGGTCAGGCTGGACAAGGCTCTGAGCACCCTGCTCTAGCTGAAGATGCCCTGCTCACAGCAGGGGATGAGGTGACCTTTAGAGGTCCCTTCCAACCCAAACCAGTCTATGATTCTGTGCTTCAGTAGACTGCATCAAGCTTCAGTTGCTTCCGGTGGCAAAAATACAAGAGGATTTAGAGAAGTCGAGAGGACCAGATCTTGCTCTCTGAAGGAGAGTCTGCAAATGGACATGTTCTTCGCCCAAGGAAAGACAGAAGGGCTGTGTAACCACTCAACAAGGGAAGAGCAGTGGAGTTGCGTCTTCCTCCAAAGAACTCTTAAATGCCACTGGAAAGGTGCAGCTGACCCTGCTTGATGAGATTAGCATGAG